AGAAGATAAGTTTACTTTATTATAGTTTATTAAGATAGGATAAAATTCTACATAATACTTAATTTTATCTACAATATTAAAAACTATGATAATAAAAAATAAAAAAAAGTAAAACTAGAAACTTAAATTATCATATAGTCCTACTCCCCGCGGTATCGTGCCAAGAACGCTGGCTGCGTTTCCCCGCTGAATGGCTATACTTAGCCTTTGAGCGAGGAAAGAACCAGCCCTCTTATCACCAGCAGCAACGACCAGCCGCGGATGGAGTTCCTTTAGGAACTTCACCGCACGTGGACCCCAGGGACCGATAGTCTCTACAGCAAATGGCACAAATATGTAGTCATCTCTCAGAGACTCATATTTGACTTATATTATACGATCAGTATGCGAGATTTCAACAGTCGTATAATGGACGCCGGTCAGAGCCGTTGATGGGATTAAAGGAATTCAGAGACGTGGCTCCGTCATTTGTAATTGATTGTTCAAGACTACACGAAACTTTAAAAGGTTCGATCGATGTGAGAAATGAAATCGAAACAGACCAAGAAATACCAGTTCACACAACCGCTTATTGCTTGATATTAAACGACTGTATATTCGAATACAAACCACTGAGTAATATCGTTAAGAAAATATCATGAATAGCAATACAATAATCGTCGATCTTCAAGGCAAGGCAAAAATAAATTTATAGTAAAGGAGTTTGCTATAGCCACTCTAGAGTACACCAATATATTCCTAATTAAACCTCCTTACACATTCTCCTGAAGAGAAGAAAAAAATTGGCTGGATTGAAAAGCACAGAGGGTATCGATGGAGTGAGGGCTTTATTGATTATAGAGAGTTTCACAAAATTATAAAGATATATTTGAAAGATAAAAAGATTTTTTTAAAAGGATGTGAAAAAATTAAACGGGTGCATGATATTTGCGATGAAAATAATACTATCATAGATATAAGTTGCTTAGGAGCTCCCAATTTAAATACTCTTTGTGAACTTTATTGTAAAGATACTTTACTGTATAACTGTTTCACTCATAAGAAAATATGTGCGTTAAAAAATGTTTTATGTATTAAGAAATGGTGTTTTGAAAACAAAATAATTGTTTGATTTCCAATAAAATATATGTAAATAAACACTTCATCTTTTAATTTAAACTACCTTTGTGTTCGAGAAGATGAAAAAAAAAGTTTCAGACCGTTAACGATTAGTACTTTTTATTAAAGTAACTGTGTTTTTTGTACCACCTTGCATTTTTAACGATGAAATAGATTAGCCTTCATATTTTGTTGTTATATTATTGAACCAGTTGTATTTCAGATTCCGAATGAAACGGTATTAGAAATGGAGCAAAGATTTAAAAAAAAGCGGATCGAGAATTACACTAAAAATTTAGACCTCTAATGAGAGAATCGGGGCCTTCAGCGGCATATAGCTCGAGCGAAGCGAGAGCAAGTGACGCAGAAGCCCCAATTCACACCTACTCATCCCGTCTAATGGTGTTCAGCTCTCCCTCTTTGCAGACGACACTGTCCTCTACTGTAAAGGTATCTCACTATGTTTGTACGGAACAAGTTCCAAAAGTCAGTTAATGACTTAGGCACTTGGTTCCTAAAATGGCGTATCGATGTGAACCCGGAGAAGAGCTCCGCCGTTTACTTCGAATATAAACGACGCCGCCCCACTACCATTCCGCCAATCCGTATGCTAGGGACCCCTGTCCCCTAGCATACGACTTACTTAGGTGTCACCCTTAACACGAGGCTCACTTTCGAGCCCCATGTTAAGAGAGTAACTCGCAACGCGCGCTTTTATCTGGGTAGACTCAACAGTATGTCGGGCCGACACAGTAAAATGTCCCTCCGTAACAAGCGAACACTATACAAGGTCTGTATACGACCAGTTATGACCTACGTGGCCCCCATTTTTGTCACGCTAAGCCTAAAATCCTGAACGAACTTCAATTAGTTCAAAACCATTTCCGTCGTCGGGCTACGAACGCACCCTGGTACGTCCGTAACGCCGACCTCAATCGAGACTTAGAGCTCCCCACAAACCAACAATTTCTAAAATCACTCTCTGAGAACTTCTTCAAAGTCTCACACTAATAATCTTATTCGTGAGGCAGCTTCCTATGCAGCCCCACTTCCCTCTCACTGAGTCCGCAGGCCGAGAAACTCTCTCTCAGAACCCCAAACCAAGCTTTCGGCCGACCTGGACTGCCTCCTGGCGGCTCAGGCCGAATCCTCTCCCTATTCTTAATTTGCCTTAGTTAAGGCGCACCTCTCAGCGGCTACTCGCCGCCTGCGCCCCCTTTTCCCTAAAGGGGGTCGCTTCCGATTCGGCAGAAAGGCCACACAGGCAAATGCCAGTCCCACAGGTGTTTACTGGGTAGGCACATCTTCAAAGTGAGTCCCACATAACCACGCAGCCAGCTGCCGTGGTATGCTATAAGCATTCACTACCTCCCTCCCCTGCTTCCGGAGGGTAACCTTGCTTTGGGCGTAAAAAAAAGAAGGCTAGTGCTTTCTTTGTTTAAATTACAACTATCTCTGTTATTATATTATGAAACATTATTTGTTTACATATGCTATTATTATCTATCCATTATGTTTCATATCTCATCATAAGAATAAAGTATTTTTATCTAAAATAGGTACCTAATTTAATACAAGACTTATTCGTATTGCATAGCCGATCATTATGTAACACATGAGTCTAAATTAATCTATAAACAAACTTTTGTGGAAATAACTCTCGACCGGGGAATCGAACCCTGAACTTTCGTTTCACAATTATATTGAATCTAGTTACTTTTAACATAGATTATCTCATTATTCGGAATGCTTTGAATAATTTAATAGCAATAATTTGAAAATATGAAATTATTTATTTTTTATGAAATGAAAAAGTGACAAACAATTTTTTTTTGGCGCGTCACCAACACTTATAATTTTAGAATCTTGGAAAGCTTTACTTCTGTTAGTTAAAACATAATCAATCTCGTTGTTATGGTGTCCATCGTGAGATATCAATGTCCACCTATTATTTTTTCGATTTTTGAATTGGCGGTTTAGTATTTTTGAGGTTGCTCTCATAATTATAAGAATTGAATTAATTTTTCTCCATTTCTTGTTCTCTTTCATACATACATACATACATACATAAACACTGTCACCCAGAGGGGTAGGCAGAGACTACGGACGTCCATTTGGCGCGATCCTGACACAGCTCTCTCGCCTCCTTTACGGATGTATAGATATATATCTACGCATACACGCTCGTCGGTTAAGGATACTCCTAATCTGGCCCATTTTTAATGTATCGCCGATTTGGTCGATAAACCTTCATCTAGGGCGTCCCTTCCCAACCCTGCCGTTCACTTCTGCAACATAAATTTGCTTTGTCACTCTTTCCTCGTTCATTCTTTCTACATGACCAAACCACCGAAGTATTCCTTTCTTAATCCTTGTCACAACGTCATCTTGCAAACCACACTTTTCTCTTATCGTACTATTTCTCACCCTGTCATTCAGATTCAGCCTTAGCATACTCCTTAAGGACCACATTTCTACAGCATTTATTCTACTCTCATGCTTCTTCTGCCAGACCCAACGTTCACTACCATACATTAAAGTAGGGACTAACACAGCATTATGAATTGCCATACGTGCCTTATTTGACACATTCTGACTCATCATAATAGCGTATAGATCCCCATTCACTCTATTTCCTTCGTTCACTCATCGTTCTATATCCTTATCATATCTACCATCCCTGCTAAATAAACATCCCAAATATACAAACTCATCCACTTGTTCAATCAACTCCCCTTCTATTCTTATTTCACATAACGTTTTACTTTCTTCTCTTTCAAAAACCATCACTTTCGTCTTACTTGCGTTCACTTTCATACCCCTTTCTTTCAATGACCAATTCATTAAAGTAACCATCATTTGCAACTCGGCCGCCATCAATTCAAATATGACTTGATCATCGGCGTACAAAAGGAATTTGACAGTTAACTCAACCATTCTCAACCCACATTCTTCAACTTTCAAAGTTTGCAAACAACTATCCATAAATAGGTTGAACAGCCACGGGGAAGCCACACATTCTCTTTCCTTAACTATAATAACCTAGTACTATCTCTTCACCTTTACCTTACCTTTATTACTAATCAAGTAATTGGGTGTATGTTCTTTTATTGATTCTGTTAGTGGGAGTGGAATGAGTCTATTTCTGACTTACTAGACTGTTCTGTTGAGGAATAAATTAGTCAGTGTATATAATATTAATAAAATAATAAATAATAAAAATGTCCTACAGACCATCACGGTGGTCAATCTCAAATGAGTTTAATCATCTACTCAGGACAGGATTATAATGCCCAAGTGTATGCACAAGCACAGGTACACTCACAATTCCCTCAATCTCATTGTCCGATGCGACCATAATCTGAAAAAACTAGAGAGAGATTAAGTGCAGTATCAACAGCTTTACTTGCTTTCTGGGGTGAAACACCTCCAACTTCCTGACTCAGAGTTGCTACTGAGAATTTTGTGACAAAAAATTCCAATAACTAATTTTGGCCTAATCCAAGATTCGAACCCACGACATCATGATCATCAATCGCATTTACGACCCATAGATCAACAAGGTACTTAATGAAAATAATCAAATAAATACAGTCAATATATAGATACATCAACAAAGCAAAGGTACAGGAAAGATCCAGTACATAGAAAACATATATTCCATGAAATTTTGGTATATATAATACAGTGGTATTCCATAACAACTTACTTCCTATATGGTAACTCTACAGTACACCCAAATAATACAAGATTTATGTGCAATGTTAATAAAAATAAAACATTTTACATGATCTCCTAAATTTTATTTCATAAGTTCCTACAGTTAAATATGATATTTTATAGCATACATAGTATTTACTTAAAACTATGCTCTAATTCTATTTTTATTCCAACCTAATGTTCTATAGAAAAGGTCTATTCATTTCAATTTTCTTTGTTTTCTTGTCTCTTGCTCTGGGAAACCATCGGTGTTCTGTTGTCAAAGTTAATGAAGCTAATTGCTTTCTAGCCATTTCAGGTTTCATGTTCTTAAAAACTCTTTTGACTTCGTTATAATCAGACATCCTTAAAACACCGTTTTCTTCTTTATTTTCCTCAGGAAGAGGCTTGGAAAATTCATAGGGAAAGTCTTCGTCACGATGTAATGCGACTATAGTAGACCCGTCATTGGTTATTACAATTTTGTTAAAATATCTTACTGTTATATTTCTTGTCTTCAGATTAAGCGATCGTAATAATTGAGACATAATATTTATTTTGTGAAAGCGTGATATACTGTTTGTTTTTTAGCGTATAACTAAAAAGCATCTACGGACGTGTGGTTGTTTGACATTGACATCAGCATCATAGATAAATAGATGACATTGACATAAACCAAAAAGTTGTTTTTGTTACGATTTGCTAACGAAGACGCGCAAAAGTCTTAGACCATACAGCCTATTCTAACGAGTTTTTTTTATTTGAGAAATCCTTTACATAGTAAAGTTATTGCTAGATTTTGTTGACAGCCTAACCCAGTGAACAGTTAATAAAACGTCCATCTTGACGTAAGTCCCGCCAAGGTCATGCACAACGCACGATGCAAAACGAAAACGAATAGGCTTGACGTACGTCACTTGACGTTTACCGATAATATCATGAATCACCAATGCGCACAAAAAATATTTTAGTATCGAAGCACTTGTAAAATCGTTTCCACTAATAATTCACATACGCATATATTTACGAAAATCATTTTAAAAAAAACGCAGCAATTTCCTTTTTAAAATCTACTTCAAAACAATTATTAAATGGTTATACAGGAGCAATAATCTTCTGGCGGTCTAATTCGCTCCAAAACTTAATGTATTTTTATAAATACCTTGATGAACAATGATTTTAGATAAATCTGCGACGATTAAGACCTACCCTCAGAATAAGTATATGCTTAAATTTTTAGGCACCTTGGATCACAAGACCTTTGATCAGTTTGCCAGAAATGTAACTTGAAATTAGATTTGCGCGACTTCAAGCGTATAAAATTAAATGTACACAACGGGTACTAATTTCAATATCATTTTAAAGTCACTAGTTAAGACTAAGTTTGAATTAATTATTTGTCACACACCTCACCTTAAAAATATTAATTAAAGTATTTAAACTGCACCCATGTAGTATTTAAATAAAAATAGTTAAAGATCGCTTAGCTTATAACGTCGATATTAATTGAAATAATTAGAATTGGATACTTTTTACAATATGAAAAAATTGCAACTTGCTTAAATATAATTGCACCATCGTCATTAAAAATGCACAAAATGCAATATTAAGTGTAAAAAGTTGATTAAACTAAATTTGTTAAGTGTCGAATGCACACGGGGCATTGGTGTATGCACGGCGAGAAATGTATATTATAGGGTTTTTATCTTCCGAGGTTTTCTTTAGTTTTTTTTTTTTATAGGATAATAATATTTTAATATGCCTTATTAGTGGCATGTTTACGCAGATCATTTTTTTCATTGGAAAATGTGTATGAAGTTAACCTATAAATTTGTCTTTTATTAAATAAAAATGGAAAACCAGCAAAGAATTACGGAAATCTCAAATTTATTTTAGTTTGAGTGACAAGTGTAGGTACTAATCAAGTTGATAATAGATACATATACATGGTAATTATACCATAGATAAATATATATGTAATGTACACTACTAACATAACAATGTTATTATTAATATTCTTTATTCATTGCCTAATATAGTTATATTATATTTACAGTCCGTACGGATGTAAAATGGGATCAGTTTAAAGCACTGACCTCTATAAATATGGACTGGCTATACACCGTGCCGTAATGAGGCTTCTGGGGTACTTTGCTCTACTTTTTTGAACGGAGCTGGAACATTCACGGGGCATTAGGATTTGTAGAATAAAGTATTTTTGCGTCTTATATTTTCTGAAATAAATTGCAGACATTTAATCTTTGTTTTTGACCCAAAGGCATTCTGATCTTGGCAGCTACTGTTCTGCAGTGACTACTGGGATTCGCGGCACCGCTCTGTTTGGGTTTGTATGCTGGCCTTTCCGTTATAAACTACATGAGTCGCTGGCCGAAATCGGAATCCTACATATATTAAGTGATTTTTATTTAAAAAAAAATGTTATTGTGTTTGTTTGGCTTATTTTGTTTTTCTTTTGCATGTTGGTATTTTCGTTGATACAGTCAGAGGAGTGTCAGTAGCATGGTCCATACAGCGGTGACACTCGTTCGCGCAGTAGTACACGCACACGCGGTAGTGTTTACACACATGGTGGCGTACGCACACGTGGTGGCGTACGCACACGTGGTGGCGTACGCACACGTGGTGGCACCGCAATCGCGGCGCTTGGTGTGGACTCGGCTCTTGTTATGCATACACTCACAACACGTGCTCGTGGTATAGCACGTGTTGTGAGCACAATGCGAGGTGGTACAGCAGTACGAGGCGGGTGCGCAGCACGAGGCGAAGGCAGCGCAATTAAGTACTACCGGAGTTGGAAGGGGCAGGTCAAGTCATGTCACCTCCGGCGTATGAGACAGGACCACCAACCACTATTTTCTTGAAATTAAAAATAATTTGAAGCATGTTCACTTATTGATAATATCACAAATACTTTGTTTGAAATAAATCAATCTTAGTGTTATCCACATTAGTCTTGACACATTGTGGATGTTTTTGTATTGTTTTCCTTAGCATTGATTTTATGAAAGTTCTTAGAAACCCTGCAAGGTTTTTAATTCAGATTAAAGCTATTTAAATATATATCTTGAAAATATTACAGTTTGTCCAAACAATCAACTTAATCATTCAGAAATTAATTTATTGTAATCACTAATTTCTAAGTTAAAAATGGACCCTTTTTTGTGTAACTCTTATTCTAGTTCCAATGACGTACTCACGGACCACTTGTGAGTTTACTTACCTGAGAAGCTCAAGTTACTGTACAAATCTGCTTCAATACTCTAAGTGCATATTTACATAAATATACGTTAAAATGTGGAGGTCACTATTGTATAGCCTCAGAGTAGTTGGTTTAGAATTAAAGTTTTTGAACATTGAGCCTTGGGTTTTTGTGATAGATCTGTTAAAATATGTACTGTTGATGTAATGCAATGATTATATTATAATCAAACATTTGTTTATACTTTATTCGCGGGTACTCGATGCGAACGGACGTGTGTGTTGATTATCGCTTTAATTATTTTTTGCGTAATAACTAGATTTCTAGTCACACTCATTTAAATGGGTAAAAAATGTGACGGATGTAATTCCTGGATACATGATAAGTTTTATATACAGTGTTCACAGCAAAAATGTAAGAAGTTGTATCATCTAAATTGCCTGGCTATAGGGGCGGAAGATTTTGAAGAACTCTCAGAAGAATACAAAAGTACGTGGACATGCCCGGAGTGTAAAAGTTCTATTCCAAAACGAGATAACACTAATACGCCGATCCGAGGTAATCTTATAGCAGACAAAACTTTTACACCAAGCAGCTATGTGAATACTGAGCGTGGCAGTCGTCACAATCCGATGGAAGTTTTATCAATTGAGACTGAGAGCAGAATCCTAGAGGAACTCCATGAATTTCGATTGGAAATGAAATCTCGGATAGATAATCAAATAAAGGAGTACGCGATTCTTCAAAATCGGTTTAAAACTACTGAAACAGAGCTACGAGAATTGCGTAAAACTATGAAGGTAGTTCAAGAAAAAGCAAAAAAAGTAGATGAATTAGAATCTAAAATTAATATTTTAATTGAACGAAATGAGCAACTGGAAACATGTTTAAAATTAAAAAACTCCAAAAAAAATGATGATATTGAAACAACAGCAATCCCTGAGGGGCCCTTATTGTCTTTTGCAAAAGCAGTAAAACAAAAGAAGGCCGTGAATAATGTTAACGTAAAAGAAAGTGTGGCCACGAAATCGGCCAACTTTACTGAAATAGACAATAATACACAAATGATGAGAAAGGAAAGTGAGATGAATAATTATTCTAAAAGTAGTGAGGAAGAGGAGGCCAAGGAATTGGAAAAGAAATATAATTGGACAATTGTAAATAGAAAAAAAAGCAGGTATCCTAAAAATGAAGTAAAAAAAGGAGGAAAAACGAGTACAGTTGAAATTCAAGGAACTGAGAGGAAGAGATATTTACATGTTTGGCGACTAAAACCTGATACCACGGAGGAAAACCTAGAAAAGTATGTCAAAAATATCTTAGGTGCAGAAGTACCTATTAAAATTGACAAAATTAAGCACAAGACAAAGAGAGATTATGCTTCTTTTACTATAGGTGTTCCAGAAAGTAAATATGATGAATTAAGTCAATCGGAAAATTGGGCAATAAATGTTGAGTTTTGCGAATGGATATGGTTTCGCAGACAAACCGAAAAAACCAAAAATTGAGAATAAGCCTATAGAAATAGTATACCAGAACGTAAGAGGACTTCGGACAAAAGTGGACCAGTTTTATAGGAGTATTTTAGCCTCAGATGAAGACTTATTTGCAATAACAGAAACTGGTTGCAATCAGTCAATTCGTGATGCAGAACTCATACCAACTGGATACACAATATTACGTTGCGACAGAACGGATGGTCGGAAACAGGGCGGAGCTTGTTTAGTGGCCACACCGCGTGTCGAAGTACGGCGAGTATCAATACCGAATGATATAAACATTGATAATCATACATTTGAGTTAGTTTGTGCTGCAGTCTACCTTCAAAAAAGATTTTTGTTTTTGTTATGTGTATTATATATTCCACCAAACAGCAGCGAAAATGAATATATGTTATTATTTAATATACTTGAACAATATTCTAGTAACTATAATAAGATGTTAGTTATAGGTGACTTTAATTTATATTCGTGTTCGTCAAATGTAAATAACTATTATGAATTTTTCAGTCTTTTTGTGAATTCACTCAGAGTAATGAAATAAGGAACTGCAATAATCGTTGTTTAGATTTGGTACTAAGTAGATTCAAGAGGGGAGAAAGTGTGAGCGTAAGTGAAGCGGAGGAATTGCTGGTGCCGGTGGATGCCCATCATCCGCCGATCAAGGTGACGGTTTGCATTAATACCCGACTAGATAATAATGGCGAGGAGTTACACTGCTCTTTGGACGACACCTTATCACGTTGGAATTTTAATAAAGCTGATTTTCCTCTATTGTATGCTTCAATAGCCGCAATAGACTGGACACCAATTTTTGAGTTGAGCTTGG